TCCATTGGCAGATAAGTGGATAAGTAAAATGTGGTATGTATGTACCAAGAAAAAACAGTCTTGAAAGAAGGAGATTCTGACATGTTACATCTTGTATGAACCTTGAGAACATTATGCTAATGAAACAAAGCAGTTATAAAAAGAAATGTACTATATCCTTCTGCTTATATAAGGTACTTAAGCTTAGTCAGAATCAAGGAAACAAAAAGTAGAATGCTGGTGGTAAAAGGAAACAGGATTAATGTTGAATAGGTACAAGTTTCAGGGGTTTTACTTGTTTTGGGGGTGGTTGTTTTGTTTTTTATTTTGTTCAGCTTAGGGTTGAATCCAAAGCCTTGCACATGCTAGGTAAGTGCTTACTGCTGAGCTATACCTCAAAGTCTCAGCTTTGATTTTTCAAGAAAGATTTCTGGAGATGGGAGTGGTTATGACTGCATAACACAGGTGCATATAATGCCCCTGAATTGTATCCTTAAAAACAGTGTGTCATAAAAATCTCTTAAGCTGTTGATCAATAGATGTTTGTGGGGAGGGCAAGGAAAGGGAAAGCAGTAGAGAATTGTTCTGAGCAAAACAATATATTCATGTCTGAAATATGATGGTGTAAAACCCTTTGGTACAACTAAAACACTAAAAAGAAAAAAAAAAGAATGACAGGAAAGCAAAACAGGGAAGTAGACACCAGAAGGTAAGGGTTAGGCTAACAAGGGTGTTGAAAAAGGTTGAAGTATTTTGTTAGCATGTACAAAAATAGAACTGTGAAGCCTGTTGAAATTGTTTTAAGAAGAGGGAAGGGAGCAGCAATAGAGGGGAAAAGATTGTGGAAATGATCCCCTTGCTCCCTTGTACAATGTAGGCTAATAAATAAAAATTTAAAAATATATAATCCTTAGATGGGGAAAATGTTAAATTAGTATGAATATAACAAGCAAATATTTGATGGAAAAAAATTTGGTGAAGGTGGTAAATTTTATGTGTATTTTACCACAGTGAAAAAATTGGGAGTAGAGTAGTATAGTGTTTTGCTAGAATGCGCACAGATTCATCCTCTGGACAATAACAACCGTAACAACAAAAGAATCAAGTAGGAATGGTAGCCTTTTGCTCAATGCTAGTTTTCTACCAATATCAGATTTACTTCTTTTCCCCCCAAATTTTATTGGAGGAAAACTACAAAACATTACAGTACAATGTTTACAGTCACAATTTGTGCTGAACTGATTCCCCAAAATATATTATAACTCAAGTTGACTTATCCTGTTACTTTTTAATCTCTTGTGTAACCACTAAAACTGTCAGTGATACAATGAAGTATATATTTGAGCTCTTTATGACATTGTATAAGTCAAAATCTCTCTTCCAGATAAGCACAAAATTAATGTGGCCCATCCACAGTGGAGATGGAAGGAAGAACCATGAACTTTTTGGCCAGATCTCTGGCTCCTAAATAGCTAGGATTAAAAGTTGGAACCATAGCACTTGGCCCTTTGTGGATTTTTAAGAGCACATAGTACTTCACACTTTGAATTGACAGGAATAAATTTGGCTCTGTTTGTTTGTTTTACTGCATACTGAGGTTTGAGCCCAGATTCTTGCACTTGGCTCAGTCAACTGGTACTCCACTATTTGAACCACACCTACAGTCCACCATTTTGCTGGTTAATTGGAAATGGAGTCTTAAGGACTTTTCTGCCCAGGCTGGCTTTGAACCTTGGTCCTCCAGGTCTCAGCTTCCTGAGTAGCTAGGGTTACAGGTATGAGCCACAAGCACCAACCTGAGGCTGTAATTTAACTCTGGTGCTAGCTATATAAGCTGGTACTGAGAACTACATTTGTGCTTAGTTGTCTGTTTTTCTTCATTCCAGAGACTTCTCTAATATTTAATATTTAATTATTAAATGAAATCTGAATACGATTTTGGTAAATTTCAAGTAAAACTTTACATATAAAGTGAACATTTCCATTCTGTTTATTTTTGTGGTTTTAATGATTAGCAGGTAAGTAGTTTAATCAAAAGATTTAAAACTTCTGTCTAAATTCATACAGGGGGACTGGGAAGGTGGCTCAGTGGTAGAATGCTTGCCTTGCATGCATGAGGTCCAGGGTTCGATTCTGAAGCACCACATAAACAGAAAAAGCCGGAAGTGGCACTGTGGCTCAAGTGATAGAGCACTGGCCTTGAGCTGAAAAGCTCAGGGACAGCTAGCTCCCAGGCCCAGAGTTCAAGCCCCATGACCGACAAAAAAATAAATAAATAAATTCATACAGAATTAAAACTAGCAGAGATTAGTCACTTTGTATAAAGAACAGAGGCCTGAGTGTTATTTGTCACTAGCAATAGCTATCTGCATTCTTTGGAGTTGCAAGTAAAATAAGCATATCCTCGCTTTTAAACCACTTATAACCTTCCTTACAAATGAGTACATTGGAGGACTAATAATAAATAGGCTCTGATAAATGTGTTTCTTATTTACCATGGGGAGAGTTCTCCTTCACTCTATATATGTTTCTCCCCTAGAGGTAAATATTCTAAGTGCTTCCTGATGGTATTGTATTATTACTTTCTTTTTTTTATCTCTCATGAACTTCAGTAACCTCATTTTCAGAGATGAGTAGGTCATGATTCTTCATTGACATAGCTTAAAAATCTAATTTTTGTTTTTCCTTCAGGTTCACTTCTTAGGCATTTATTAGAATTTTATTCCTAGTGTATTAGCTTGCTTGCTTGCTTTATTTATGTATTTATTTGCTTATTTATTTATTATTAGTCAGGGAACTTGAACTCAGGATGTGGGTGCTGCCCCTGCACTCTTTTGCTCAATGCTAGAGCTCTACCACTTTAAGCCACAGCTCTACTTCCAGCTTTTGAGTAGTTAGAGATGAGTCTGGCTTCAAACTGAGATCCTCAGATCTCAGTCTCCCAAGTAGCTAGTGAGCCACCAGTGCATGGCCATGTGTTATTTGCTTTATAATTGACCACTCTACTAAGTCCTTTCATTTTTCCTGTTTTAATTTATTATTCTAGATTTTTCAGGCAAACATACTGCTTAAATGTAATGGTGCTTTTAGCTCCTTTCTTTTTATCTTGAAAGTCAAAGTCCTCTAATTACTATCCATAGTCCCCATATGCCTATGAAAAGTTTTGTTCAAGTCCAATGTTTTGTGAGTGTTTTGTAACTTTCATAGTAGAAAGTTCTAGCCCTTTGTTTGTCTTTCACAGAACAAAGCTAAAGAACCAAGAGTATGAAACTTTAGATCATTTGGAATGTGATCTGAATTTAATGTTTGAAAATGCTAAACGCTATAATGTTCCCAATTCAGCCATCTATAAGCGAGTTCTAAAATTGCAGCAAGTCATGCAGGTATGATTTCTTAGTTTTGCCAAGTTTGTTATTTGTATCATTGAAATAATTTCATTTGTTTTTAAATAAGTTATTTTTTAAGTTGTTGGGATGTGTTTTGTTTCCTTTTCATCTTGAGGAGGCAGTGTGAAAGATTTTAACTAAGGGCCTGACACTTGCTAGGTTGGCACTCTACCATTTGCACCACTGCCCCAGCCTAAGTATGTTGTTTTTAAGATGTGTGATTTCATCCCAGCAATGTCACCTCATTCATTTTAACCACAAGTACTACTGAATATATTTTTAGATTTCTCAAAACCTTATAGAGGGAAATGTAATAGCTTTGCGACTGGAAGAAGCAGAAAGGGGATAAATTGGGAGGTGATACCTTTGGCATTCTCATAACCCCCCCCCACTCACCCACAAGAATCCTAGATGATAGTCTTACCAATCCAGTTTTATACTTGAATTCTAGATTTGGTCTCTAATAAGAGACTCTAATAAGAGACCAACAGGGTACCAAGCTAAGATTACACACTTGTAATCTTAGCACTCACGAAGTTAAGGCAGGAAGATGATGAGTTCAAGGTCACTCTGGGCTAAATAGTAAGACTGTCTCACATAAAAACAAAAATGAAAGATCGAATTGGTCTAGGAAAAAGAGTATCTGAAAATTATTTAATCAACATATAAAGCCCAAGAGTTTATCAGCTCCTTTGAGGGCATACTATACAGGAAATCTTATATCACTAGTTATCTGGGATTTTAAGGTTAAAAGCTTGTTAGGAAATATAAATTGGGCCTTACAGTTTCTGGTAGACTATTTCTAAAAAGATAATCTTAGAGTAAGAATAAAGCAAAGGCAATTTTTGATCACCTATAGAAAAGTCTTCATTTTGTGTGATCAGCAGTACGTACTTTTTATATACATTCTCTAAGCCTGATGAGTTCATCTTTGTTTGGCAGAAGGTCTTTGAAAATGCAGACGTTGAACAGTAGATTTTTCTGTAAGGGTTACAAAGGCACTCTTGGAATTGGTGTGATCTAAATATGGCTACAAGGTCAAGCTGACCCTACAACTAGCCTCAATTCTTTTAACCAATTTATACCATTCAGAACTTTAAATGCTTATTCTAAAATTAATTCTTTAACCCTCTGGATCTGTTTTGTTAACTTTTCTGTCATTCAAGCTTTTACTAAATTAGATTAATTACTTTAATTTTATGCAGCTACATGCGATTGTACCTTTCTAAATGAATCTCAATATGTCTGGCTTTTTAATTTATTGATTAATATTAGTTACACAGGGGACAAGGGTTCATTGTTGTATCACCAAACATATTAATTAATCCAATTAATGAATCCATTCAGTTTCATCACCTCCATCACATTCCTTGCTATATCTAGTTTTTTAAATAATTTTTATTGAGATTAAGTGATTACATAAATTTCACAAATTTCACAGTATTGTGGGATAGTGATACTTAAAGTCAGAAACACATTTTAACCTTTTTAAGGCAAATTGTCATTTTCATGGTCAATAATGTTTGTGAATTCTATGAGCTTTGACAATACAACTATTTCTTTGTATCTAGCTTATTAATGTTTATAGATTCATGGGAATGCTTGGCAAAGTGAGCGTAAGTCCTGGGATCTGCTCTGTTGTAGGCAAAGAAGAAAGAGCTTGCCAGGAGAGACGACATTGAAGATGGAGACAGCATGATCTCTTCAGCGACCTCTGATACTGGTAGCGCCAAAAGAAAAAGGTATATGTTCATCTCAGTTCCTAATTACTTTAAATAAGTACAAAAAGAATGCTTTAAACTATAAAGTACAAATTCAAAACATGTTCTCTTTTAAAATTCATTTGTAAATTGGATAATTAGCTTAAAAAGTAAAAGTTTCATATTTCTTTCAGATGTCAAAGAAGAATGTCTTACACAGGTAGTTTGGCCAAACAGGATATTCCTTTTATTATCCAGTAACATTTAATTTAGTTAATTTCTATGTAATGAATTACAAAAACCAAATATGAATTAGAGAAGGAAAGATGAAAATTGGTGTTCTGTCACTGAAGTGAAGAAAATCATTGCTCTGACCCTTTGGTTTTCTTTGTTAACTTGATCTTTATTTCTGGCTTTAAGAATATCTAATCATGGACTAGGAATGTGGCTTAGTGGTAGAGTGCTTGCCTAGCATGCATGAAGCCCTGGGTTTGATTCCGCAATACAATATAAACAGAAAAAGTCAGAAGTGGTACTGTGGCTCAAGTGGTAGAGCGCTATCCTTGAGCTGAAGAGCTGAGGAGCCTTGAGCAAAAGAAGCTCAGTGACAGTGCCTAGATCCTGAGTTCAAGCCCAGGACTGTCAACAAAAACAAACTACGAAAAAGAATATCTAATCAGCTAGGCCTGATGGCTGACACCTGTAATCCTAGTTACTCAAGAGATTGAGGCACAAAGGATCTTCATTCAAAGCCAGCCCAGGCAGAAAAGTCTATGAAACTACATATCAAATTAACCAGCAAAATGTCAGATTGATGGCATGGCTAAAGTAGGTAAGCTCTAGTTGTGAGCAAACAAGCTGATCAGTTTGAGCCCTTGAGTTCAAATCTTGGTACTAGAGAAAAAAAGTGTATCAAATCAAAACTTATAGTTCATAAACTGTTAAGCTAGATGTTTGAGTGCTCTGTTTTTGCCTTTTTCTTTGTAACTTTTCTGCCAGTTTCCCTGACCCTTTCTTTCTCTACTGGATTTTGTGAAAGGGGACCTTATTGTGAGATTCTGAAGCTGGGCTCCTATAAGGAATTGTGTAAGACCATCTCTCTTATCTATGTCTCCCACATGGAGTTTCTCTGTCTTGATCATTGTAGAATACTATATTCTCCCTAACTGCCATAAAATCTTTGCTGCAGCAGTCAATCCAAGGAGGATACCTTAAACAAGAAGTAATCTAATCACTAATAGTAGGGCTTGAAATTAGAAATTGAATGAAGTTATTAGCAATTGACATCATTCTGTATGTGTTAAAAGATCCACTAAGGCTGGGCGCCGAGGGCTCACGCCTGTAATCCTAGCTACTCAGGAGGCTGAGATCTGAGGATCACAGTTCAAAGCCAGCCCGCTAGCAAAGTCCGTGAGACTCTTATCTCCAATTAACCACCAGAAAACCAGAAGTGGTGGTGCTGTGGCTCAAGTGGTAGAGAGCTTGCTTTGAGCTGAAGAGCTCAGAGACAGCGCCCAGGCCCAGAGTTCAAACCCCACAACAAAAAAAAAAAAAACCAGATCCACTAAGATTGGAAGTGCTTTAGAAAAGAGAAGCTGTCCTGTTTTTCCCTCTCTTCAAGAGCATATGGGGGAAAAAATAGATTTGAAAATAACTTTGCAATGCTATGCCAAGGTAACTAAATTGATTGGTGTATCCTGAGTCTCCTCCATTACTGGCCTATGAATTTCATCCTTCCAAGTTCTTAATTCCTTGTTATACCAGGGACAACGGAGGAAAAAAAAAGTGAAACCAGATCAGAGACATCAAATCAAGAACATCTTTGAGTGTAATTATATAACTACTTCAGCATCACCTGTGTTTTCCAGATCAGTCACCAGGCAAAGATAAAAACTTCTCAGGCAAAAGAAGGTAATGGAGGCAAAGTGATGGTACAGTTGGTACCACACTAGCTGAAAGAGAGATCTTAAATTAGTTGAGTATTAAGAAAACAGTTACAAGGAAGCATTAATTAGCCCAGACCAGATCCTTAGAAGTTACATATTTCTATGGCCTTTAGTTTGTGAGACACTCAAGTAGATTAAGTTAAAGTTATTGCCCTTGGAACTCCTGTAGAAAGAAAACAAAGCTCTGTGTTCTTACAATAATAAAGTACATTTCAGACAAAAAGTCTCATTATAAGCAGGTTTCCTTGAAAATTATTTATGTAACAAAGTGAAAAACACAAAATATCAATGAAAGAACAAACCCAGATTCCAGACACAGGCACAAATGGACATTAAAAGACTGAGAGAGTTAAGTCTTACTTGATGAACTTCCTAGAAAGTTGAGAAGTTTTCATAGTAAGAAATGGGCCAACTGCAATCTGTAAGGTAAAATATGGCCAGAAAAGACAGGGTCAAGTTTTCCAAGTACTTCTTGACTTGACTCATAAGTAGTGTATATCATTCTTTCACTACAGTGTGGAAAGTTTTGATTATTGGTATATTCAATATTGGAATGCATTCTTTCTCTTCCGCTCCCCAAAAATCTTTGTTTTTTTTGTTGTTGAAATGTTCCAACTATTATGATCTTACATCCTTTGGACTAAAAAAATCCTCTTTTCTCAACCATGTTTGGTTTTGCATGCCCTCCAATGTTACTTATATTGTTTTTCTTCACATGTAATGTTTGTTTCTGCTTTCCCAGGAACACTCATGACAGTGAGATGTTGGGTCTCAGGAGGCTCTCCAGGTGTGCAGTCCTTTTTTATGCATAAACATACTTTGAAAAATGTAACTTTTGTGGCATGGTCAGTAATAACAAGATGAAAGCTAATGCCTTAAACATATGAAATAAGTATTTGGGATGCCAATTTCTTTCTCAAATATAGCAAGTAGTTCAGAAATCTAGTTACATCAGAATTAGCTAGCTTCTGTAATGTTCATTGCTACCCTTAATTTGTTGCTAGCTCCTCCAGGAACAGAAAGTCCCTTCACCAATCTTTGTGGCTATGCTTCTGTTGCAAAAGGTAAAGACTTGGCATTGCTAGTAACTAGCAGGTGGGTGCTGATTCCTTCCCACAATGTCTTTTACTGATCAAAATCAACATTGTCAATCCAGATAGTGCCAATAAAAGTGGACACTCAGACATTGTGTTGGCTTTGTGCTTCTTGTCATTTCTTCAGTCTCTGATCCTGTCATCTTATTTCTTTAAAGTACCCATTCTTGCCAGGCGCTAGTAGCTCACGCCTGTAATCCTAGCCACTGAGGAGGCTGAGATCTGAGGATCATGGTTCAAAGCCAGCCTGGGTAGGAAAGTCCCGAGAAGACTCTTATCTCTAACCACTCAAAAACAGAAGTGGCCCTGTGATTCAAAGTGGTAGAGTGCTAGCCTTGAGCAGAAATTGCTCAGGGGCAGTGCCCAGGCCGTGAGATCAAGCCCTACTACCGACTCAAAAAACAAAAGTATTCATTTTTGGAGCTCATGCCTATAATCCTAGGTACTCGGGCAGCTGAGATCTGAGAATTGTAATTCAAAGCAACATGGGCAAAAAAGTCCATGCGACTTTTATCACTAACTACCAAAGAGCTGGAGCTAGAATTGTGGCTCCAATTTCCTCAGCCTTAAGGAAAAGAAAAAAATAAAGCTCGAGGACAGCACTCAGGCCCTGAGTAGAAGCCTCAGGACTAGCACACACACACAAAAAGGTATCCATTCTTTAGTATGTTACTAAATAATTTTTAGAACAGCCTGTGAGTTTTCCTGTTACAGTGCTAATGCTAATTGTTTAGGTGCTTTTGTTTTCATATTTGTCATGACATCTTATATTGTTTTTTAGAGTGTTAGTTGCTTACAGAATATCAGACTTCTCTAAAAGGTGAACATTGAATGATCTTTTCTACTTGTAAGCAATTTAGTGGCCAGGAAAGGAGGCAAGTTGGACATTATGTGAGAACAGTGTAGTAAAACAATTGCATAAGTCATGATACATATATAGATATAAATGTGTGACTTAAATAGCTTTAGGAAAGATTATTTCTCCACCTAGTTTCCCCTTGCAAGATATGATCTACACATTGATACCATAAGCTATTCAGAGTTAATTACAGTGGTATATAACCATTGACTTAGTAGTATACTCTTTAAGTATGGCCTCTTGAGTGCACAATAATGAATGACTAGTTTTGAGCTTCCTTAAGATTTATTTTAGGGCTGGGAAGGTGGCTCAGTGGTAGAGCGTTTGCCTTGCATGCTCAAGGCCCTGGGTTCGATTCCTCAGCACCACATAAGCAAAAAGAAAAAGCCGGAAGTGGCGCTGTGACTCAAGTGGTAGAGCACTAGCCTTAAGCTGAAGAGCTGAGGGACAGCGCCCAGGCCCAGAGTTCAGGCCCCACAACTGGACCCAAAAAAAAAAGATTTATTTTAACCAGATGTGGCATGCACTTGTAATTTCAGCAGTCAGGAGGCTGAGGCAGGAGGATCGTGGTTTTGAGGCTGGCTTGAGCTACATATTAAGACCTTGTTTCCAAAAAAGAAAAAGAAAAAATTTCTTTTACCTTAGTATGTTCAAAGGTGATGATTTAAAATAAAAAGAAGAACCAAACACTTGACGTATACCTATAATCTTATCTATTCAGAAAGCAAGAGATGGGAGAACTGCACCACATGGTTAACCCTGGCAAAAGGTAGCATGACACCATCTAAAAAAAAAAAGCATTTAATTCAAGTCCCTAATTATTGATTACTATGCCAATTTTTATGTATCTTTCCAAAAATGGAGAAGAATCAATGTTAACAGTAAATGCTTTGAAGGAGATAGAGGATAACTACAAGGCTTCTAAGAAGAATCTGAAAATCAAAGTGACGTTGAAAAGAAAGAATCAAATAGAGAACTATCTTTTTGTAATGAAGTTTGCTTCATTCAAAAAGTATAAGAAGCATTTGGAAGTCGTATATAATATGGTGTACTGTCTATATTGGAAAGATACAAAGTAAACATACTAGCCATCAAAGCTAATCTAATTATTATGAATGTGTATGAAATTTAGCTGTGAATTTTTCCTGGTAGCCAAGTTAAAATGAATGACAGTAGTTCTCAGTACCAAAGGCAACATAAAAATCTAGAAACAATTAAAACAGTAACAAAATTGGATTTGTTTGGAGGAGGTCATAAGTGATCCTCATAATAGAAGTTTTGCATGCTTTTGAGGATAGAGACCTTTTTGAGGATGAAAGACACTCAAGGACAGTGTCTAGGCCCACAGTTCAAGCTCCATGATGAACAAAAGAAGAAGAAGAAGAAGAAACCATTTACATATTACCTAATTATACATCACATCATCATTCTCTTATACAAATGGAGAAAGGATATCATGGTACTATAAGTATCAAAATAGTGAAATATAGTAACTAGATTAAAACAATTTCTTACACATAAAAGATTTCACATTCTGCTTATTTCTCATTAAAAACTGCAAGTGTTGCCGTGCGCCGGTGGCTCATGACTGTAATCCTAGCTACTCAGGAGGCTGAGATCTGAGGATAGGATCATGGTTCAAAGCCAGCCCAGGCAAGAAAGTCCACATGAGACTCTCATCTCCAATAAACCACTAGAAAACCAGAAGTGGCGCTGTGACTCAAGCTCACGTTGAGCTGAAGAGCGCAGGGACAGCGCCCAAGCCCAGAGTTCAAGCCCTACAACTGACAAAAAAAAAAATAAAACTACCAAGTCTTAGTATTATTGGCATTCGAAGAATGGACATCATGCTATTGTTTATTGGCCAAATTCAGCTTAAAATTTGCCCTTCTCTTTGAAAACCTCATTAAGATGTGCCCTAGGTTCAGTCCCAGGTTAGAATATTTGTTGCTTCATACAGAAAAGACTACATAGTGGAAGTGGTACTCAAGTGGTAGAATGCTGAGAGAAAAAGCCTAGAAGGGAATAGAGCTGATGCCTGGACTAAAGCTATCTTTTTTTGAGCCAGTCCTGGGCTTGAACCCAAGGCTTAGGCACTGTACCTGAGCTGCTTTTTGCTCAAGGCCAGCACTCTACCACTTGAGCCAGTGTTACTTCCAGCTTTTTTTGAGTAGTTTATTGGACATAAGAGTCTCATGGACTTTCTGGCCAGGACTGGCTTCTAACTGGCTTCGAACCCGATCTCAGCCTCCTGAGTAGCTAGGATTATAGACAAGAGCCACCAGCGCCAGACTGAGTCAATCTTTCATTGATGTGTTTATGCCTGGAATTCTTGTAATGTGGATGATTTCATTCTGACTTGATAGGTGAGATCTGATAAATTTAGTACTTCAGCGCTAAATTTTTGAGTCTGAGTCAGTCCCCATAATCAAACCATGTCATTAGCAAATATTTGTTGAATAGAAAGTAATGTTATTGTTTAATAGGTTCCTGTTACTTGGAAACATCTGGTTCGAATCTGGCTAGAATTTTTTTTGGGGGGGGGGTCGGGTCGTGGGGCCTGAACTCTGGGCCTGGGCGCTGTCCCTCAGCTCTTCAGCTCAAGGCTAGGGCTCTACCACTTGAGCCACAGCACCACTTCCGGCTTTTTTCTTTTTGCTTATGTGGTGCTGAGGAATGGAACCCAGGGCCTCAGGCATGCAAGGCAAGCGTTCTACCACTGAGCCACCTTCCCAGCCCCATGGCTAGAATTTCTTAATCAGTGTCCAGAAGATACAAGAACAGTTGACCCAGAAGTCTTATTGGAAAATCATCTCCTTTAATAATTAACTGACCAACTCATCTTAGGAATGATCATTTAGCCTCTTTGAGTCAGCTTTCTCTACTATTAGGACATGTAATCATCTGCCTTGTTTGAATTCTAGTGCCCAGCTGTGGTCCATCATATTTATTCTATACTAATATCATGTTCTTAGCATCATACCTCATTTGGGGGCAATTCAGGGCAGTGTGTACAGTGCAAGTGGTAGAGGACTTGCTTATTAGGCCTAGCATAGGAGAGACCTTGGATTCAATCCCCATTACCACCAAAAAAGGAGAAATATTTATGTTTAAGGATGAAAATTTACTCTATAGAGACCTCTTACATGAGTCATAGGCTACTCCAAGCTAAGTTGGTATTGTATGATGATGATGGTAGAAGGAAAATGTTGAAACTGACCCTGACATGACCAAAGCAAAAGAGATTTATACCTACTACTCAGACACCAAGCTGGTGGACAGTCCTGTGTTTTCTGGCAACTGGAATATCTTGATTGGGAGTGGCTGCCTTAAGACATGGAACACTTTCATTGTTAGGTTGCTTTTTGCTTTGTTTTGTGCTGGAGATGAAGATGAGTTTGTTTGTTTTAATCTTCGTTAGAGATTAAGATGGTTGTAGTAATAGGAAATAGCAAATTTTATTGCA